TACATCGTCGAACACAATAGAGGTTCATCCTGGTAGGAATAGATTATTTCACCAAATGGATAAAAGGCATACCTTTAGTTAGTGTGGATTAGGACACGGTGATTGAATTCATCGAGAAGCACGTAATCTATAGGTTTTGGATTCCTGAGACTATAACTACCGACTAAGGGTCAGTGTTCATCTGTCGAAAGATGCAAGAATTTTCGTCTGAAACATGATTTAAATTGTTAACCTCAATACCTTATTATGCTCAAGTCAATGGACAAGTCGATGTTACTAACAAAGTGATACTTGGGTTGATTAAGAAACATGTTTCTAAGAAACCTAAAAATTGGCATAAAACGTTAGATCAAATATTATGGGCTTGTCAAACATCCCCTAAGGAGGCGACAAATTCAATGCCTTTTCGTCTAGTGTGTGGGCATAATGTTCTTTTTCCAGTTGAATTATATCTGCAGTCTATAAGAATACAACGTCAAAACAAAATTTCATCAGAATAATACTGGAGTATGATGTTTGATGAAATAGTACATTTGGACAAAGAAAGGTTAGTTGCATTGGATGTGCTCATTCAACAAAAGGAGCGAGTCACCAAAGCATATAATAAAAAGGTGAAAACTAAGATGTTCTTAATAGGTGAATATGTTTGGAAACTAATTATACCTATGGATCGACGAGATTTAACATTGTGGAAATGGTCCCCATATTGGGAGGGGCCATTCCAAATTACAAAAATATTCACAAACCGAGGAAATAGGTTTCTACCAACGAATCCATAAAGTAAATGGGAAATATTTGAAAAAATATAAACCTATTCTAAAAGAGATTCAAATTGCAATAGATTAAAAGCATATTGTATAAATATTGGTAACCAAAATAGAAGAGAACCAAAATGGTGACCATCAATTTGAAGGGATTACAAAAAGGCGAAAAGCCAGGGCCAGCATTGACAAAAGAAATTAAACGAAGGTGATCAAGCGGGGAGGCCACCAGTAGATCCCCTAAAGAGTTTCTTGAGCAATGGTATCTGGGCTAGGGAGGCCACCAGTAGAATCTAATGAGGCTTTCTGTTGCTTGACTTTAGTTATCTTCTTCGCAAGATCAATTATATGTGCTTGGTAGGATGCAATTTGTTGATCAAAAGAAAGACGCATGTCAACATGCTCTTGAGTCTTAGCCTCAAAATCAATAAGCTTTTTCTCACAAGCGTCAATCAGTTCCCATTCGCCTTTCATATCAATAGAATTCTTTTTAAGTTCGAATTCAATAAGAAATTGAGCCAGAGACTTGGGGATTAACTTGGGTTCTGAAGAAGATCAGAATGAAGTCAGGATTGGGGCACTGCTTCATCCATATGTGAAGAGTAGGTTGACTAATTTGTTGAAAGAATATATTGATACCTTTTATTGGTCCTATGAAGACATACTTGGTTTGGATTGCAATATTATGGAACATCGTTTGCCGTTAAATCCAGAATGCCCACCTATAAAACAGAAGTTAAGAAGGACTCACCCTGATATAGCGGTTAAAATCAAAGAAGAAGACTTAAAACAAATTGATGTTGGTTTTCTTGTAACATTAGTTTATCCTTAATGGGTCGCTAATATTGTTCATGTTCTAAAGAAACATGAAAAATCCCCGCATGTGCGTTGATTACCGGGATCTAAATAAGGTCATCCCAAAAGATGATTTTCCTCTGCCACATATTGATATGTTGGTAGATAATACTACAAAATTGAATGATTTCTCCTTTATGGATGGATTTTTCAGATATAACCAAATTAAAATGGCTCTCGATGAAATGGAAAAAATAACGTTTATCACATCCACGGGAATATTCTATTATAGAGTGATGCCTTTCGGGTTGAAGAACGCTGGTGCAACGTATTAGATGACTATGACAACCCTATTTCATGGTCTGATGCATAAGGAAATTGAGGTTTATGTTGATGATATGATTGAAAAATCTCAAGCTAAAGAGTGTCATATAGAAGATTTGTTGAAGTTATTTTAGCATTTGAGGAAGTAACGTCTCTATTTCAATCCAAGAAAGTGCACATTTGGTGTTCGTTCTAGAAAATTGTTGGGCTTCATTGTTAGCCAGAAAGGGATTGAAGTTGATCCTGATAAAGTTAGGGCAATTCAAGAATTTCTTACACAAAGAATTGAAAATCAAGTCAAGGGTTTCCTCGGACGACTGAATTATATTTCTAGATTTATTTCCCATATAACTGCTACTTGTGAGCTGATCTTCAAGTTTTTGAAGAAAGGTCAGGGTTATGTGTGGACTGATGATTTCGAGAAGGCTTTTGAAAGTATCAAAGAGTATATCCTCGAGCCTCATATATTTCTCCCTTCTATTGAAGGAAGACTGTTGATTATGTATTTAACTGTATCGGATAGTTCCATGGGTTGTATCTTAGGTAAGCAAGATGAAACAGGTAAAAAATAATATGACATTTGTTATTTGAGAAAGAAGTTCACCGACTACGACTCACGATATTCATTGCTTGAAAAGACATGTTGTGCTTTGGGATGGGCTGCTAAACGTTTGTGGTAATATATGTTGAATCATAGTATGTGGTTGATATCCAAAATGGATCCAATAAAGTACATATTTTAAAAGCTTTCGCTTACCGTAAGAATTTCCCGTTGGAAGATGTTGTTGTCTGAATATGATATTAAATATCGTACATAGAAAAATGACAAAGGAAGTGTGTTAGTAGAGTATCATGCTCACCAACCAGCTGATGATTACCAGTCCATCAGGTATGACTTCCCTGATAAGGACATGAATAAGCTAAAGATTGCGACGAACCACTGCCTAAGGAAGGACCAGAACATGGGTCTTGCTTGGATTTAGTATTTGATGGAGCTGTGAATTCTTATGGTAAAGGAATTGGTGTCGTGATTAACACTCCTCATGGTTTCCACATCCCATTCACTGCAAGGTTGCAAGATTGATGTTTAATTGTACAAATAACATGGCAGAGTATGGAGCTTTTATTATGGATCTCGAAGAAGCCATTGATCTTAGAATCAAGATTCTTGATGTGTATGCAGACTCAACTTTGATAATTAATCAGATTAAAGGAGAATGAGAGACTCGTCATCCTGGCTTGATTCCCTACAATAGTTGTTTTTAAAAATTTATACAATTATCTTCTAGTCGATTTATTGATTTATTTTTAATAATTTTTTAATATTTTCCATTTTGTTTGAATTTCTATGACAAACTGATGACAATTCAGCGTCACACACCAGTACTCGGACGAATGCACAAGTAATACACCAGTAACGTGTGAACGCACGTGCAATCATATCAAAATTCGTGCGAACTCATGTTTTATTACTTTTTTGCACAATTAAATAAAATAAAATTGCTTTTCTTAACAATAGTTGTTTTTAAAAACTTATACAATTATCTTCTAGTCTTTTTTATTGTTTTTTTTCCAATAATAGTTTGATATTTTCTAATTCGTTTGATTTTCTATGACAAACTCGTGATAATTATGCGGTCCACACCAGTACTCATACGAACGCACAGGTAATACATCGGTACCATGTAAACTCACGGATAATCTTACCAAAATCCGTGCGAATGCATTAGTTATTAAATTTATTTCTTTTAAATCATTCTGTTTTTGGACCTTTATGTAAAATTTCTTTTCTACTGATTTTCAACTAATACCAATTTTGAATATTTATTTGTCTCAATTATTATATTTTATAAACCCTTTTATTATAACTCTATTAACCCTATTTTTTTCTTTCCATTTACATAATTGTTATTTACAAAGTATGTGTTGAATAGTTTTTCTTAATTAATCATAGTTGTTTTTAAAAATTTATACAATTATCTTCTAGTCTATTTTTTTTCTCATAATATTTTGATATTTTTTAATTTGTTTGAATTTCTATGATAAACTAGTAATAATTTATGGTCCACAACTATATCTATGCAGACAAACATGTATCCCGCTAATTTAATTTTTAAAATTACATACATTTTTTTTTAAATCTTAACAATACATTTTAAAGATCGGCCGTTTCACATTTCTAGAGCACAACATTAGTTACACGGATTTTCTCAATATACTGGAAATGATATTGAAATTTTTATTAGCATTAAAAAGAAATTAGATCTAATTTATTACATGATTTGATGCCCTTGACATATGTACAACTATTATACAAAGGTGCATAACTGATACTACAAACAATATATAAAAATGATTATAATCTCATAAATTTTAAAATAATTTAAAACTAATTTGGAGATTCTGAAGGAGAAATTGTATTTAATCTAGACACACAACCGTTCCAAATATCCTTACTCCTTTTCCAAATTAAAACTCTATTTGCCGTAAATTCTGGAGTTGACACAAAAATTCTAGTGATATCTTGATGGCATTTCTGTCCCAAACTACTCTCAAGCTTAACACAACATTTATCACTAACAGTTTGATTAGCATAAAATGTACTATCAAATATCTGTTTATAACAATTTGGGTCTAGTTTTGTAGTACAATTTTTTATAAATATTTGATATGGTGTTAATGGCGTTTCTGCAGGGGATCCAACTGGTGGATTGGTAACATCATTTGAAAATCCTGTTTGGACTAACAAAATAAAACTTGTTATGAGTATCAACGATGGACTAATAGTGTTGGATGAACCCATATTTTAGTTTTGTTAAGGATTATTCGAATGCTTCATTCTAATTGAAAAAATATAAGTATATTTATAGTTTCAAATAATCATGTAATTGAAAGGAATTCCTCTTTAAGAGGAGAGAGAAAGAAGGAGTAATCACTAACAAATATAGCAAATGAATTAAAGTAGGAGATAATTTCACAATTTTGATTATCTTAAAAATAAATACTTAGGTTACCTTGATGTATAATATATTTTGTTTGAATATTGTAAATATTTCACTGATTTTAATTGATGTAGTACTTTTATTCATTTATTTACCACAAATTTGGAGATGAAAAAGGTTATTTGTCTGTGTTTTCTGCTATAAAAACAATGTAATTTGTTGTACATGAATAGACAAGCAAAGGGTGCATCAGTTTGCAGCTACTGTTTGCAATTGTAAGCCACCTGAAATTTACAAAGGAAAGGGCATTATGTATACTGATGAAGTTATCAAGAAAAAACAAGGAAATAAGTCTAAATGATCATATAATCTTGGTCAATTTAATGAATTTTATGACTCAGGTGCACATTTGATAGACTTTGCAGAATTTTTTCCCTCTAGCATTTGGATAATTTCAGTGTTAGAATTCTTAAATCGAGCATCATGGATAATTAAGTTTCAAATAATAACATTTTATGCTTCAATATTATTCATATGTATTGTTAATTCTTTATTTTTATGATTGACATTAATTTTGGTAAAACTAATTTAGAAGCAACATGTTAAATTGGATGTTGTAATCTTGCTGAGGAAACATGTTAGACACGATGTCATATCCAGTTTATCTGACATCTCGTCTTTTACAGATGCTAACTTGGATTTATTTTGTTTTAATAGTTCCTGAATATTCTGGAAATATTAGGATATTATTTGTGTTGTCCAAGATTGAAGTTTTAGATATTCCTTCTGTATTTAGAAGATTAATTTTTTTCATTAAATGTTAAGATATTTTAGGAAACAAATCTTTAAAGTCCTATTTTTATACAGAAGTTTCTATTGATTTTATGCAGTAAATCAGCTATGTAACATCCTCTAATTCCCCGTGTAAATTTATTGCATAATCAGAGTAAATTAGCATGCATATCCAGAGAAAATCACATATATCTCCAAAATAAAACAACACATACAATGGTCATGCTCAAATAACACGTATTTAAATTCATGTTTGTATACATTTAGCAATTATGCATGTCACAGCATAATACTTGCATCTCTACATGATACCAACACATGAATCTCAAAACAACATCATATAATAAATCATTAGGCACTAAGGTCATCTATCTCATTATCTCCACATATAATGCCAAATACGAAATGATAATATTTGTATCATGTTCCCAATACATCATAACATAAACAAATAACATAAAGTATTTCAAATATCTCATATAAATCAAACATGAACCATGTGATCCCCGTGGTACTGACCAGAGCATGACACACTACCTAGTAAGGAATAACAAGCTAGTAATCCCTCTAACTAGTCCTTGCGAGAACCACCAATATCTTGAGTACCTGAGCGATGTCGTATAAAATATCATTCCAACAGAAGGGTGAAAATTCACATAATTATAGAAATCATAAGATAATATATAATTAATAGCATACATATATAATTAATAGCATACATGCATAACATAATTATTCTCACACTCCAACAGTTTCATCAATAAGTTACCACTCAAGTAGTCATGCTTTTCACAAGTAAACATCCACAATTCCGCAATTCAAATGATAGTTAATAAAAAATACTACAAATATAATATTCACATCAATATCACATATTGTACTTTCAATAGTTCCACTTTGATATATGTGACTCGAATTCAACTCAATACTATGCACGATACATGTGGTACCAACTTAATATTTTTTCTCTTGGAATCAGATCCCCTCTCTGAATTCATAAGCCCCCTCTCTGAGCTTCAAGACCCCTCTCTGATCTTGGGACAAGTAACTAGTCTCATCTCTGAACTAGCGAACATGCCTCTTGATACAACAAATGATGCATGTGCAAATCTCAACATATATATGCAATTAAGGCCATCTGCATATCTTAATCATATAAACATATTTTACATAATTCAACACATATTAGTTATCTCACCAAATTGCACAACTTACATACATCATGTCAATATTTATCAATTCAACACATTACAATAACGTATAAAAAACAATGTCAAACAATGTTATCCACATCCAACATCAATTCTCAATATAGATATACACACATACATTTCATTTTACACAACCAATAAATTATTAAATCATCTACTGCCAACAAAACTAATTTGATTGAAAATCATATTTCGCTAGCTTTCTAACGCTTCGAACGGGGACCCAAACAGAGTTACGATTCAAAAGTTATGAATTTTTTAAAGTTTCAACGAAAACGCAAATACCAACATCATACACAGACAACTCTAAACATGTCAGAGTTACGGAAAACAATTAAAAGTATGACTGTTAATAACTCAAAGCAAGTCTGACAATTTTATTGACAACTCTAACAATTTTATTGACAGCTCTAAAAACTCTATTGATAATTCTAACAAAATTTAAAATAACTTAAATTAACTAAATAATTTAAAGATTTATATCTAATTCAAAACTCTTATAAGTTTTATACTAATGATATTAAATTATTTCAAATATATTTATGGCATTTAGATATTAATACGTAAAGGGAACCATAGTTCAATGCAAAACAGTAACTCTTATAGCAATAAGAACTTAGTCAATTGTATGTAATATTCTCGTCATCTCTCATATGAGTAACCTTCTTATAACTAGTATTTTAAATAATTATGCTAGGTGTTTCAAAGTGAGACCAGCATAATTATTAGCGAGGAAAACTGGAACACATATTAGAAGTAGTGCATATTTTATGGACATATGAAGTCTAACTACACAACCCAATATCACATAATTTTAATTATTATAGAAACATGATATAATTTATTTGGTTTAACCCTACTATATATTAACACTACCGTTTAAAAATATTAAATTGCTATCTACTCAATTCATCCATTCTATCAACATAAATTGACTTTTCAATTTATCTTTCAGTTACACCAATATATCAATTTTAAACACAATTAATCATCACATATTAAGGATTATCATTAAAACCTAACAATTTCAAGACCATAAAAATTAGGGATTTCAACCTAAACATGTTTCTACCCATTAAATATTATCATACAATCTCAAATAATCATGTAAAAACTCACACTTACATTGATTTTTCGAGCTCTTGAGTTTTTCCTCTTAGATTTCTCCTCTTCTTCTCCACTTCTCTCTTTTCCTCTTTTCCTATTTCTATCTTCTAACCTTATCTTATCTCTTTCTCTTATTTTATCAAACCTCAAAATTTCGTAATAATTCTATTGGGCTTACTTAACTCACTTTCACACTTTCTATTCACATTCTCAATCTATGCCCAATTACTAATTCTACCACTTCTATATTATTTCCACCAAATAAAATAAATCACATAATTCAAGTAAGTCAATTAAATCAATTATGCACAAAATCACATAATTAATTAATAAATCATGTATTTCACCAAAACCACATATTAATTAATTACTATATCATATAATAATTAATAAAATAAATATATAATCTAATAAATAAAAATTAGGGTGTTACAAGATGCGTTTTTGAAGCCCGTATCCAGTTCATTTAAGGTTATAAAAGGAAGGCTCCAACCCTATTACAAGTGTGGAGCAAATTGTATCTTTAAGAAAGTTTTAGGGTTTGTGTTCTTGTGAATTGTGAGTTACTCTTGTATTATTTGATATCTGAGTTGGACTGTTAGTAGAGTTGTTTTTGTTGATCATTCATAAGCTTATAAGCATTGAATGATTCTGTGTCTTCTAAAAATTATTCTAAAGTGTTTAGAGTTGTTCAATTACTGTTGTAATTGAAAGGGATTTGAGAAGGGTCTCATACCTAGGTGAGTCTTAGATAGAAGTTAAACATGAGTAGTGATTAAGTGAGTAGATTGTAACTAGATGTGTTCATATTTCGAAGTAATTTGTTTTGTTTTTTTACAAAAAATTAAAAAAAATTCTTTCACTCTGTCCAAGGTGAAAGTCATATTGTTCGCGCTTGTTTCAACTTTTAAAATCAATAATAAAAGTCATTTTTGCTATCCAGTTGTGTTTTATTTTCTGCTTTTTCTTGGAAAGTGGTAATCACGAAAAAAAACATTTCAAAAATATAATAACTGTCAATAAATCTGCATAGCCACTTGTTGCATTTATCTGTTTCTAAAATAAAGCATAATCATATGTGCAGATTATTTAAAAACCCATTGAAAACAAGGACCTTATGCCCTCCCCCCACTTCGAATAACCTGTGTATGAAGATAAAGAAGAGGAGTTGATTGAAATCCCATAAGAAGTTTCTCGATTTCTTGAGCACGAGGAGAAGACCATTCTGCCATATAAAGAGCTGTTGGAAACAATTAATTTGGGTACGGAAGAAGATCTAAAAGAGGTCAAGATTGGAGCGCTACTTCATCCAGAGATGAAGAGGAGTTTGACTGAATTATTTAAAGAATACGTGAATATCTTTGATTGGTCCTATCAAGACATGCTTGGTTTGGACACTAATATTATGGAGCATCATTTGTCGTTAAAGCCAAAGTGCCCGCCCATCAAGTAGAATTTAAGGAGGACTCACCCTGATATGAAAGTTAAAATAAAAGAAGAATTTTTGAAGCAGATTGATGTCGGTTTCCTTGTGACGTCAATGTATTCTCAATGATTTGCAATATTGTTCCTATTCCAAAGAAAGACAGAAAAGTCCATATTTGTGTTGATTATAGAGACCCGAACAAGGCCAGTCTAAAAGATGATTTTCCTTTGCCACATATTGATATGTTGGTAGATAATACAACAAAATTAAATGTTTTCTCCTTCATTGATGGCTCCCTAGGAGATGTAAAAAACAATGTTTATCACACCCTGGGGAACATTCTGTTACAGAGTGATGCACTTTGGGTTGAAGAACATTGGTGCAACATACCAGAGGGCTATGGCAACCCTATAACGTTATCTGATGCACAACAAAATTGATGTATACATTAATGATATGATTTCCAAGTCCCAGACTGTAGAGGGTCATATAGAAGACTTGCTGAAGTAGTTTCAGCATTTGAGGAAGTATCGTCTTTGCTTGAATCTGAATAAGTGCACCTTTGGTGTTCGTTATGGAAAATTGTTGTGCTTCATTGTTAGCTAGAGAGGTATTGAAGTTGATCCTGATAAAGTTAGGGAAATTCAAGAGATGCTTGCACCAAGAAATGAAATGCAAGCCAGAGGTTTCCTCAGATGTTTGAATCATATCTCCAGATTTATTTCTCACATGACTACGACTTCTGAGTTGATATTCAAAGTTTTAAAGAAATATTAGGGTTATGTATGCATAGATGATTTCCAGAGAGATTTTGATAGTATCAAAGAGTATCTTCTCAAGCCTTCCATCATGCTCCCTCCTGTTAAAGAAAGACCATTGATTATGTATCTGACAATGTTGGATAATTCCATGGGTTGTATCTTGGGTCATCAAGATGAAACAGGTAGAAAGGAATATGACATATATTACTTGAGCAAGAAGTTCACTGATTGCGAGTCACTGTATTCATTGCTTGAGAAGACATGTTGTGCTTTGTCTTTGGCTGATAAACGTCTATGACAATATATGTTAAATTATACTACTTGGTTGATATCCAAAATGGATTAAATCATGTACATCTTTGAAAAGCTCGCTCTTACTGGAAGAACTGTCTATTGGTAGATGTTGTTGTCTGAATATGATATTGAATACCATACTCAAAAGGCTATTAAAATAAGTGTGTTGGCAGAGTACCTTGCTTAATAACCAGTTTATGATTATCAATCTGTCAAGTTCGATTTCCATGATGAGGATGTAACGTATTTGAAAGTTAAAGATTATGAGGAACCTTTTCCTGAAAAAGGTCCAGATCCTGAATCTCGTTGGGGTCTAGTGTTTGATGGAGTCGTGAATGCTTATGGAAAAAGAATTGGTGTTGTAATTCCCCATGGTTCCCACATCCCCTTTAGTGCAAGGTTGATGTTTTATTGTACCAATAACATGGCGGAGTATGAACCATGCATTATGGGTCTTGAAGAAGCCATGGATTTAGGATTAAGATTCTTGATGTATATGGAGATTCAGCTTTAGTGATTAATCCAACTAAATAATAATGGGAGACTCGTCACCCTGGCTTGATTCCTTACAGAGATTATGTGATAAGTTTGTTACCTTTCTTCAACAAGGTTGAGTTTCATTACATTCCTCGAGATGAGAATCAAATGACAAATGCTTTAGCCACTTTGTCCTCCATGTACAAGGTGAATTTCCCAAATGAAGTGCCTCAGATTACAAACAGATGTCTTGATAGACCAGCTCATGTGTTTGCAGCAGAAGTGACATCAGATGATAAACCTTGGTAGTATGATATTAAACACATCCTTCAAACTCAAGAGTACCCACTTGGGGCATCAAACAAATATCTAAAGACATTGAGAAGGTTGGCGGGTAGCTTCTTCCTCAATGAAGATGTGTTGTACAAGAAAAATTATGACATGGTCTTGCTCAGTTGCATAGATAGACACAAAGAAAACATGTTAATGCATGAGATTCATGAAGGTTTCTTTGTTACCCATGCCAACAGACATTTAGTGGCAAAGAAGATGCTTAGGGAAAGTTACTATTGGTTGACAATGTAGTCTGACTGTTACAAATTTGCAAAGAAGTGCCGTAAATGTCAAATTTATGCTGACAAGATTCATGTGCTTCCAACTCTTCTCAATGTCATTAGCTCTCCAAGTCTTTCTTTATGTGGGCATTGACATGATTAGAATGATAAAGCCTAAAGCTTTGAATGGATACTGTAACACTCTATTTCCCCGTCGGTAATTTATATAACAATCAGAGTAAATTAACTTCTAAATAAACATCAACCAAATAGGATGTCACATACATCACCAATCACCCATTCTCAAAATTAGGATACACAACACAAATCGCATACTCATAAGTCTTAAACTTCAATGCATTTATTCGCAGCAGAAAAACATCAATAAATAGTCATCTCAATTCTTCAATTGAATTATTATTATTATCTTTCAAACATCAGCATAATCATAAAATAATTCAAACGACAGAGCAAATACATGTTTACTTCTAACATAACAAAGAAAATCACACAAAACCCCCATGTGTTATGTATCAGATCAGACACCGACTAAATCTACACAACTAAAGGAAATCCTTAGATAACCTTCGATCACTAGCTACTTCGGATCATCTACACGTTACCTATGTAGAGGTAACATTCAAACAGAAAGAGTGAGATATCATAACAATATAAAAGAAAGCATAATAATGAGCATGTAAAGATTCAAGTACATAATCAACACATAACATCCATTGTAATATAATGCATACTTCATCAACATTCACCCATCTAATTATCAGACACAATATGATACAAAAGACCGACACAGACTCAATGCATATGGTACCAACAGGGTAAAACCCTCTTTGCAATAATGTCATTTTAGGGCAATCAACTTTGTTCGTCAATACAGACCTTCGCTTGCCAATACAGGCCTTCGCTTTATGAATGAATGAGACACAATCATGCAACAACGCACTTCGCATTTACTTTATTACTCATCACAATTTCACCAATACAGGCCACCGTTATCATTCTCATCATGTATCTCATGTTAAACAGTCAAAACAATCATCGCAAATAACCACAACATAATTCATGGTGTACAAATAAAAACATGCTCACGGATTGGTATCAATGTTGGTGAAATAATTAGCTACTGCATTATAAGTCATTTTTATATGATAAGAAATTATTTTATCTTCCTAACGGTCCAAACGACGCGTCAATCAGATACCCAAGGTAAAAGTTACGAGTTTTAGAAGTTTTACAAAAAATGATGTTAGTTGCAGTGGTAACCGGTTACCAAGTTATGGTAACCCATTACCACAACACAATAACCTTTTTCTTTTCATAATTCCTCGCGGTAACTGGTAACCCACTTATGGTAATCGGTTACTGCAGTACAGTAGCTATTCGTGTTTCAGCCTTTAATATGGTAACCGGTTACAATATTTGGGTAACCGGTTATCCTGCGATAATATGGCAAAATTCTACAGTTTTCATGTTACGACCATCTCATGTTTCACCACCAAAATTTCTTAGTTTTCACTTCCAAATTCATCTTTTAAGAAGGATAATTACTCACCAACATTGTATACTAATACTAACCAAATCATGTTATCAAATTTCATCACAAACACAACAAAATCACTAAAAATCCATCAATAGAATTCAAAACAACCAAATTGATAGAATTCAAAACACACAAAATCAAGAAACCTAAATCCTACCATACCCCATCATTAGGCAACCTTTTATAGAGTTAGAACCCTCCTTACCTTAGATTCTTGGTTGGTCCGTGATCTCTACGGTGAATCCTTGCCCTAGCTTCCTAGTGCTTCTCTCTCTTCAACCTTTTATGCTTATGTTCTTATTTCACATACAGACTCTTATTTTCCTTCTCTCATTCTAATATAGTCTAATAATAATACAACTAACCCAATAATAATAATTTAATTATTATTATAAAATGATAATAATTATCCTAACAATATAGTAATAAAATAATAAAAACCTATATTATTTCGCACACCCCTACGTTTCTACACATTTAGCCAAACACCCCCATACCCTTAACTTCTATAATTCTAAGGAATTTAGTCGAAAATAAGGCATCTCACCATGTCATAACATCCATCATCTCATATAATTTCACCACATCATTATATTATTTAATTAAAAAATAATTCTAATTAAATTAGGGTATTACAACTCTCCCCCACTTAGAATATTTTCATCCTCGAAAATTACCTGAAGCAATTAACTATGGGTAAGCCTCCCGCATCTTGCTATCTAGTTCCCACGTCGCATTCTCTCCGATAGTTCCTCCCCAAACCACCTTCACAAGAGAGATCTCTTTGCCTCTTATCTTTTTTACCTCTCGATTCTCAATCCTCACAGGTATGGTTTCAACAGTAAGATCATCCTGCACTTGTACATCATCCATTGGAATTACATGCAAGGGGTCAGAAATATACTTTTGGAGTAGCGACACATGGAATACATCATGCAAACTCCTTTTATTGCTTTTATTTCTTTTATTTTGGCAGGATCAACCTTAATTCCTTTTTGGCTTACAATAAAGCCCAGTAACTTCCCTGATCTCACCCCAAAGGTGCACTTGTTAGAGTTCAGCCTCAGTCTGAATTTCCTCTATCTTTCAAGAAATTTTAACAAGTGGACAAAATGTTCCTCTTTTCTCTAGAATTTGGCAATCATATTGTCAACATGAACCT